CACATACTCGACGTTGTGTATGGTGCAGAACAAAAATAAAGATTACACATATTTCCGCTGATATTACGACCATAGAAAGCTTATTTTAATTAATTAATTAATTAATTTGAGTTGGAGTGTCACTCCGTTGCCCCGGTTGGAGTGCAGTAGCACGTTCATGGCTATCCCAGCATTGGCCTGCTGGGCTCCGGGGATCCTTCCACCTCAGCCTTCCAAGTAGCTGGAACTACAGGCGTATACTACCAAGAGAAAGATTAATTTTAAAAGTAGCTGCTGGCTGTGATGGCACGCACCTTTAATCTTCACTACTGGAGAGGCTGAGGCAGGAGGATCCCTGAGTCCAGAAGTTTTGAGTCTAGCCTAGGCAACACAGCAAAACACCATCTCTTTAAAAATACAATAAAAGAAATTAAAACGTGGCTGATGCTGATGTTTCTCTAAACATTGCCACTAAACGCATTTTTAGAATTTCTCAGGTGAAAGAAACACATGATGTATTTATGGGAGAGGTTAATGTTTGGTTTGTAGGCATCCTGAATGTAGATGTTTGTAGGCATCTAATATTTGTATTTTTTAAAGTAATTCTCCAAGTTACTATGACTTGCATTACCAGCCTTTCTACAAAAATGAATATTTCTTTAAGTCAGGTCATTTTACAGTATGTTTCTTAATTGCCAAACAAAAGTTATGACCAATTAGATCTGAATACTGTTGAACTATTTTTATTGTGTGAACATTGAATTTTTAAAATTTTGATTAGTTTGGTTTGTGGAGACTCCTGTTATAGAGTATACTTTAGTTTCTTGGTAATTATCTTCCTAATAGACATCATGATAGTCTCCTTAGTGTGTTGTATCTACTCAAGAATATTAAATGTTTGTATGCAGCCATCTTTGTATATTGAATGATCTCATTATGGTTAGAATAACAAAAACATATATAAGTCATAAAGATTCATCCAACTAATTTAACTTTGTGATTGTGAATTACATACTGAGACCAAATAAATCTATTATGATGATAGAAAATGTTGTCAGTGCCCAAAGTTTTGGTCAATCTTTCAAAATTGAGAGGTTGATCAAAAGGGAGGAATTGTCAAATTAAATTAAATTTAGCCTAAAGTTGCCTCTGAACATGGAAAAACATAATGTAATTTAATATGAGAGTATCAATCCTAAATTGAGAGTATATTCTTTTAACTAGTAATCGAAACTTGGTCAGTCATAGCAGCAAAAATTTCAGGAAATCACAGCCTAAAAATTGCTAAGCCATATTCAAATAAGGCAAACTTTGAGGTTTAACCTATCTGGCTATTTCTGCATGTCATTTCTTTGTTCTATCTAGAAATTCTGTTTGTCTAAGTTTCTGAGTGGCGCTCTCTGTACCTTTACTGATTCAGGGCATTGCCTGATTCATGAATCATTTCTTTGCTCAAATAAAGTCTGCTAAATTTAATTTGTTTATTTTTTTTTTAACCAAATAAACCTATCCTAAGATAGCAGTTTGGGGAAAGGGGAGAAATCAAGAGAAATAGTAATGATTATATGTGGCAAAATAATGTCTTCACTAACCTTAATCTCTTTGGCCCTGTCTGGGGGCAAGAAAGTGCTAGCACACACACACACACACACACACACACAGAGAGAGAGAGAGAGAGAGAGAGAGAGAGAGAGAGAGAGAGAGAGAAAGAGAGAGAGCAACAGCCTCAGTGCCAAGCTATGACACTGGCTCATAACAACTGCCAGGAGAAGACCTTCTCTACTTTATAACCCATGATATATTTTATTAAATAATGCCAGTAGGCTGCAATAAGAACTAACCTTAGCAATGGGGAAAATGACAGGTTTGTACAGTGCACTAGATGTATGTGGTCTTTCTGAAATAATAACTTCTGTTTCCCAGAACTCAAATCCTTTTCATGATGAATTCATCCCTATTCTTTACTCAAGCTTATCTCAGAAGTCCTGCCAATTAGACCTTCTCTTGTGTGGGGCAACCAGTATAAATGACAGAAGCATGTTGATGGATGCTAGACTAAGTGTAAAGCAGTTTTAATTTAAATTTCATTTATAAAATAAATGCAATTATTTAGTAAATCTTTCAACAATAGTAAGATGATCATTTTTTTTCAGATTCTAAAATCAGCATACATTTTGCAAACAAGAGCATATTAAAAATGTATTGTGGTATTTATCTTCCTTAATATTTCATAAAATAGTGAGACATCTTAAAATCTAAAGTACTATAGAATTAAGGAAATGTTACTTCTGACAAAAGTCTTTGTTCCTATTGTGTCCTTTCTCCTTGGTCTCATTTCTTATTTCATTTTTATTTGTCCTTCAAAACTAATCTTAAATTTTTTCCCAAACATCTCAAAAATCTATACAAAATGCATGAATAAATTAATCTAATTAGATTGAGTACATAATATTTAAGTGTAAGGTGTGCTGGAGAAAATCTAGAAAAAAAAAGTTGGAGAACTAAATTTAGTCTAGAGGTTAAGATGCACCAATTGTGCAAACTTGGATGAGTCCAAAGTGCTGAGTCCCATTACCTTATAGAAGCTGGCTAGTCCAACATCTCATTTTTTAATTGCAAGAAAACTTAAGTGGTTCACCAAAATTGTCTAGCTACTTTGTGACAGAGAGCAGAACCTTAGATCAGAGACTGGGCACTTTTTTTGTTAAAGGACAGAAATATTTTTGGCACTATAGATCACATAGTCTTTGCTGTATCTCCCAACTTGGCCATGATAGAGTGAAAGTATTCACAGACTATCTGTAAATGAATAAGCATGGTTCTAGGTCAACAGTATTTTCTTTACAAAAATGAAGTGGCCCATTGAATTTGGATCATGAGTGTACTTTGCCAAACCTTGCATTTGAGCATAAGACAGAGAGCCTGCATCCTCCCTGATATAAAGATAACATGTTCTGCAGTTGATAGTAATGAGGACTGGGAATATACTAACTAAAAGACAAGAAGGGCGTAAGATAAGATAAAAGAATGTGGCCTGTGTGGTCCTGTGCTGGCTTCTTTGGTGGTTGCTGTAAAATACAGTTTCCAGAGTAGGTAGTTTCCTTTTTCTGATTAAAGTTCTATATGTAAACTCACATCTTATTGTATATATCAAAAATTAAGAGGTAAATTGTAATTTAATACCTTGAATATTGAAACTTTAAAAAATGAAATGAAAACTTAAAACAATGAATAGAGTATTATACAATTTCTTAAAACTAAATTTTATTCTGCAGAATTTCAAAGAGCAGAAAGTCAGACAAAAGAAGGAAATCAGGGAAAAACTGCTTTGAAGATGAGTAGATTTGTTTCATATGGAAACTAAGATCAACTCTTATTTATAGAGTCTACCTTTCACCCATCAACTTCCTCCAAGTGTAGTTCCTCTTCTTTCTTTCTTATTGTCAATTGTTGATACTTGAAAGGGATAAAATTCAGTTATTCTAACTAAATAACAAGCTGTCGCAGTAATGGATTCAAGAGAGGTTCCATTGTCTTTGAAAATAGAAATGTAACAACACTTATTAACATTTTCCCCTATAATCTGATTCTAGAAACTGGCTCCTAGACCTTGACACACTTGAGATGCAAAATGATAGAATAATGGTAATCCAGTGAAGACTCTCGTAGATGAAATTTTCATGTATAAGTGAATAATAAAAACAAGAACACAGTATAAGAAATAATCTTGAAGAATGTGAGGTACCTGAGCACCACACTGAGAAGCGGCTGTCTCACAGCAAAATGAATACAGATTCCCCCTTGCTAGACTGGTGTTGACATTCTATGTTTTAGTTGTGTCAAAGACAATCTACAAGGGAGGCTGTCTACCTGCAGAAGGTCATGGAGTTAAACTGCCCGCCATGCTGACTCGGCACAGTGGCATTCATCACAGCACACAGGTTTCTTCTATGGCAAACAGAACCTCCTCAGGCGTGAGAAGAAACCTGGTGTTTTCTGCTACCTGCGGGCTTCTGTCTTTTGAGCCAGGAAGGACATCTGTAAAAGTTGGCTGCCTGCATGGCAGACCATGCAAAATGCCAAGGAGAGTGATTTATGTCCCATTCTCTGAGACTAAACAGGAAATACACCCAGATTTTAGCAATGAAAGGTCAGGACAGTGAAACATTTTCTTTACAATTTTTCCCCAAAAACTTAGGATAAAAGATACACACTTATTTTCACAATTTACAAATTTCCACTTCATGTGTCACTTGTATCCCTAAGTCCTAAATTGTGATCGTTATTTAAATGTAATATCACTTTTTAAAAGTATGAATCTCAGAGCTTAAATTTATTTCTCAAGGTTAAAAGATGGAGTATACTTCTTTAACCTATCCCTATTTTGTCAAGTAAAATTGTTAATTACATAAAGCCTATTTTAATCTAGTGAGTAGAATACAGTCAGTACACACATCTCAAATAACCACCGGACTTAAGAATCATAGTTTTAAGTTGGAAAGAGACGTAAAGATCATTTCAAACTCCTTCTTTTTTATTAGAAATGTGTGAACTTGTCCCCGAGACGTTAGACCAATTGCTAAAATTTCTTATGGAGAAAATAAAAAGCAAATAATAGAAACAATAGATTTTTTTTCCTATATTTATTCTAGTTTTCATAATACTTAACATAGAAGTTTGAATTATAAAGTCAATGGCTAACAGCAGCTCATTTTTATCCAATTTTAATTTGAAAAGGATAGTTTCCACGTGTTCTGGAATTATTTCTTGACATATACTCTCAATAACACTGTGCAAAGCCCCATGAAAGGAAGTTAGGATGATCCGGGCACAGATTTCGTCTTTTTTTTTTTTTGAGTTGGAGTCTCACTCTGGCGCCCAGACTGGAGTACAGTGGCCGCTCCCGGCCACTGCAGCCTCGACCCGCTAGGCTCGGTGATCCTTCCGCCTCAGCCTTCCAAGTAACCGGAATTACAGGCATGCGCTACCACACCCGGCTGATTTTTTGATTTATTGTAGACATGAGGTCTCGCTGCCCAGGAAAAAAGGAATTTCTGGAGAGTTTGGTAATTTTCTCAAAAGTCATCCATCAAATTTAGTCATTTGAATAATTTATGTGTTTATTATTATTCTACTTTCGTGATTTCTGAACACATTTACAAGAGAAAAGAATACAAAGAGATTCTGCCATTGTGGCTTACAGTCTAATGGACGAGAGAAGACAGGTACAATCACACAAATGAATGCATTTTAATTCAAAAGTGGATGATCTCTAACTAGAAGAGCAAAAAAGAAAAGTAAACAAAATATCTAAATGTACTAACTGCTTCAAGTAGACACACAGAAAATATTTTGCCTTGAATGGGTAGGAAAAAAATTGCTATGATTTGTCCCAACTCAAACAATGGAATGTTCAGAACCTAATTTAACTTTATGTAAGTTTAGGCATTTATCCATTCACAATTGTTAAGTAAAAATAGAAGTTATTTGCATCATTTTTTATTATTAAACTTGCTATATGTTTTATTACTTCAGTTAACAAAATGTATCTAACATACAAGTGCTCTTAAACAGTTCTTTTTTCTTTTCCAGAAAAAAAAATGCAAAGGAAGCAAATATGTTGAAATAAAAGTAGCAAAAAAATACCTCACATATATTTGATTATTTCAAACTAATTTATCTTACTTGGCAATGACTTTTTTTTTTAAATTTCAGCACCAGAACTATAAAACAAATAAATAAACCTGCCAGATTCTTTCAAACTATCCTGTAAGCACAACACTTTTAAAGCTGTTAGATTATTTCTTATTGTGAATGCAGAAAGCCTAATATTTTTCACTGAAAAACTACACTAAATATTTTAAAAATAGGTGCAAATTTACAAGAAAATAATGAATATTATGTTGTTATAAAGGAATAAATAATTTTGTATATATTGATGGGAATAGTAAATTTTTTCTTCTTAGACTCCACTGTTCTTGTATTTAGGCCAAAAGGAATTTGCTATCAGTAAGACTTTAGCAAGTTCTAATATGTATTTTAGGATTTGCTACACTAGTTTTTCTTGTTATTCCTCTTACTTTCTTATGACTCACATAACATTTACCCAAATTAAAGTTGTACCTCTGAACTGAAAACATTTTCATCTTTAATAACAACAGTAAGACTAAGAATGGCCATAGAGCTTTCTGCTCTATGGCAAGAAAAGGGTATTTGCCTTCGTAACCTTTGACGACCATGACTCCGTGGATAAAATTGTCATTCAGAAATACCATATTGTGAATGGCCACAACTGTGAAGTAAGGAAAGCCCTGTCAAAGCAAGAGATGGCTAGTGCTTCATCCAGCCAAAGAGGTCGAAGTGGTTCTGGAAACTTCGGCGGTGGTCGTGGTGGTGGTTTCGGTGGGAATGACAACTTTGGTCTGGGAGGAAACTTCAGTGGTCGAGGTGGCTTTGGAGGCAGTCGTGGTGGTGGTGGATATGGTGGCAGTGGGGATGGCTATAATGGATTTGGTAATGATGGAAGCAATTTTGGAGGTGGTGGAAGTTACAATGATTTTTGGCAATTACAACAATCAGTCTTCAAATTTTGGACCCATGAAGGGGGAAAACTTTGGAGGCAGAAGCTCTGGCCCCTATGGTGGTGGAGGCCAATACTTTGCCAAACCACGAAACCAAGGTGGCTATGGTGGTTCCAGTAGCAGCCGTAGCTATGGCAGTGGCAGAAGATTTTAATTACTGCCAGGAAACAAAGCTTAGCAGGAGAGGAGAGCCAGAGAAGTGACAGGGAAGCTACAGGTTACAACAGATTTGTGAACTCAGCCAAGCACAGTGGTGGCAGGGCCTAGCTGCTACAAGACATGTTTAGACAATACTCATGTGTATGGGCAAAACACTCGAGGACTGTGTTTGTGACTAATTGTATAACAGGTTATTTTAGTTTCTGTTCTGTGGAAAGTGTAAAGCATTCCAACAAAGGGTTTTAAATGTAGATTTTTTTTTGCACCCATGCTGTTGATTGCTAAATGTAATAGTCTGATCATGACGCTGAATAAATGTGTCTTTAAAAAAAAAAAAAAGAAAAGAATGGCCATAGATATCTGGCAGAACTCTAGGCTAAAAATTAGAAAGGAATAATTATAAGTGGAGAAAAATGCATAAATACAACAGATAAGCGAAGATAAAAGTATTAGAATATCCTTATTAAATTATACATCTTATAATAGAAAAAAAGATGATCTGGTGAAAGTAAAAGTGGCAGACAGAGAAAGAGAAAATCTATGACTCAACTTCCCAAATCTCTTTAAGATTTTTCCAAACTGGAAAAGTAAGTTTTAAAAATTACTATTAAATTGGAATTATTAGGAAATTTAAAGTAACTATAATAAATATATGAAGTATACTAATGGAATAAATGGGTATCATGCAATAGCAAATAATTTAAGAAGAAAGATGGAAAATCTAAGAATGACTAATAAGAAAATTCTAGAAATCAAAATAATTATAATAGAAATGAAGAAACCTCAATGGGTCCATCCATAGATTGTACATGACTGGGGAAAGAATCAGTGAGATGAAGACAGATTGATAGAAACTTCTCAATCTGAAATACAAATAGGAAAAAAAATTAAACAGATCTTCAAAAAAATGTCAAATAATATCCAAAGTTGTAATATACATACAATTATAAAAAAGGTAAAAAGTTAAACAAAATAAATACTTAAAATTATAATAACTGAAAATTTCCCAAATTAATCACAAACACTAAGTAACTAGTAGTGGAAGCTCAAGGAAAATCAAGAAGTACAAACAAATAAACCAAACAATAACAAACAAAACCACAAGCAAGACAACAAAAAAACCCCCAAACCCAAGTCTTAGCTTTCAATATTCAAACTATAGAAAACTGAAACAAGATGGAAATCTTGAAAGAGGCCAAATGGGGAGAGTAGAAATCTTATCTATAGAGTTTTAAGAACAGAATTATGTTACATTTCTTGTCAGAAATTTTGTGGACAAACAGTTATATCAACCTAGAATTCTATATTGATGTTATTTTTCAAAATTGAAAGAGAAATAAAGACTTTCTCAGGCAAATAAACAAGATTCATTTCCAGAAGACTACCCTGAAAGACATATTAAAGGATTAATGGAAGTTTCTTATGGAGAAGAAAATGAGATAGGTCAGAAACTCAGATCTATAAAAATAAAAACAAGAAACGTAGAAGGCATTACTGTATTTTACAATTAAAGAGGGTCGTTCTCATATTAAATATTCTGATCACAATATTAAAAAATCAAAGAAATAAAAATAAAGGTAAAATATTATTTTATCGTTAATTATAGAACTACCACTTAAAATAATAATGCTAACAATATATTGGGTAATATAGCTTACAGGTCCGTGAAATGAATGACAGCAATGGGAAGGAGAAATTGGGAATACTCTTGTTCTGAGTTTCTGCACTACATGAAGCAGTACAGTGTCAACTGAAAGTGGCATCAGAATAGTAGGAAATATATCCTGCACATGCCAGGGTACCTATATCTTTTCAATAAAATACAGTTAGTATGCTAATGAAGGAGATAAAGTGGAATCATATAAAATGCTTATTTGAAGACAGAGAAGCCAACAAAAAAAGAGAAGACAAAAACAACTAACAAACACAGAGGATAGAAAACAGTAACAGAAATGGGAGATATTAATCCAATGATATTAATAATCGTGTTAAATGAGAATGGTCTGAAGACAGTTCCTATTATTGTAGATAAAACATGCACACACAAACACGTAAAAAGGGCCCAGCTGTATAATTTTAACCAAAAATAAGCACGCAAATAAACAAAGCAAAACAAAAAGTATATAATGACTTGGATACTTGATGTGTAAAGGAATGAAGAAAGAAATACCCTAAAAGAAGGCTACAGTAGTTACATTAATGTAAGACAAAAAAGTCTTCAGAACAAAAGCAACAAAAATTATCATGGATACAGAAGGAAATTGTGTGATGATAAGGGGGTCAATTCTCCAATGATATAGCAATCCTTAGCATATACATGTGTAACAACAGAGCATCAGAGCACATAAGACAGAAACTATTAGAACAGTAAGAAGAATAGATTGATCCATTATTACAGTTGAAAACTTCAACACTATTTTACCAGTATCTGATGAACCAAGTTGTCTAAAATAATTAACAATATAATTAACCTGTATAACACCATCTCTTGACTATATCCAACTGACATTTATAGAATATATCATTTCACAACAACAAAAACACATTCTTCTAAAGCTCGTTTGGAACATTCAGCAAGATAGACCACATGCTTGGCCATAAAATATACTTTCCCAAATTTAAAATAATAAAAGCCATGCTTAGTACATTATAATAAATGAGAAGTCAGAAACATAAAGATTTTGAAATATTTAAATATTTAAAAACATACTTTATATAACACATAGGCCAAATAAACAGTCTCAAGAAAAATTTAAAAATATTTTTAGCTACCGACATGAAGAATACACTTACCAAAGTTTGTGGGAAGCAACAAAAGCTGTGTTTAGAGGAAATTTTATAGCATTGAAAGCACATATTAGAAAAGAAGATAGATCTTAAATCAACAATCAAAGCTTCAGCTTTAGGAAACTAAAGAAAAAGGAGAAAGGTAAGCCAAAACAAGAAGAAAATAGATAGTAAAAATTAGAGCAAAAAGTCAATGAAACTGCAAATAGAATCAGTAAAGAAAATAAATGTAATAAAATCTGGTTATTGGAAAAGAACAATAAAACTAATAAAGCTCTTGCCAAGATAACCAAGCTTAATATATATAACTCAATTACTTTCTTAGATACCAGTATTGAATAATTGACATTTTAAAAAAGAAATATTTAGGTATATGTCTAACAATACGTATAGGACCTACATGAGGAAACTGCTAAACTCTAAAGAATTTTTTTAAAAACTCAAAATATGGAGAGATAGTCCATGCTCTTGGTGATAAAGTTTTAATATTAAGAGGTCATTTCTTCCCAACATAATCTATAGAATCAATGTAACTCCAATCAAAGTTTTAGCAAGTTTTTTTGTGTATAACAATAAATAGATATATAGGTTTATATAGAAATTTGTTATAAACTAAACTATGTTCCTTCAACATTTATATGGTATAACTTTAGCCCCTAATGTGACTGTATTTGGAAACAGGGCCTTTAAAGAGGTAATTAAACTTAAAGGAGGTCATAAAATAGGGGGCCTAATTCATTAAGACTGGTGTTCTCATAAGACAAGACACAAGGTTTTGCAAGCACAGAAAATAAAATGGATATAGCAGGAAGATGTTCATCTGTAAACCAGTAAAAGAGGTCTCAGGAGAAACCAAACCTGCTAAAACCTTGATATTGGATTTCCAACTCTCAGAACTATGAGAAAATAAATTTCTGTTGGTTAAGCAACACAGTCCATGGTATTTTCTTATGGCAACCCTAGCAAACTAATACAGAATTCAAGAATTCAGAACCAATACAATATTGAAGAACAGTTGAAGCGCTGATCCAACCAAACCTCAGTACTTGCCAGAAAAGCCACCGTAAGCAAGTCAATGTGGTATTGGTGATAGAATAGACAATTAGATCAATAGAGCAAAATAGAAGGTCCAAAAGTAAGCCAACACAATAGAGTTGCCTTATAAAGACAATTCAATAATATAAAGCATTGACTTTTCAGCAAATAGTGCTAGAACAATTGAGCATAGACATACTAAAAAAAAAGGGATAGGGATATAGATATAGAACTTTCAGCCTTCACAAAAATCAATCCCAACTAGTTCATGGGCCTAAATGTAAACTATAACACAATAAGAATCATAGAAGATAAATAGAAAAAAATTGAAATGACCTTGTGTTTGCTGATGAGTTTTTAGATATTTTATTAAAAGGCATAATTCATTTTAAAAAATTGAGAAATTGACTTTTGTTAAAACTAAAATCTTCTGCTCACAAAGACCCTTAATAAAATATAAAAATAAAAATAGACATAGATTGGGAAAAAAATGTAAAAATGTTTGCAAAACACCTATCTAATAAAGGACTTATTAACAACGTATCCTAAAAACTGTTAAAACTCTACAATAAAAGACCACACAACCTAATTAATAAATGATAAAATAATCTCAACAGAGATCTCACTAACGAAGATATATACATGATGCATAAGCATATAAAAAGATGTTCAAAATTGTTTTTCATCAAGTTAAAACAAGGTGATACCACAGTCCACTTATTAGAATGTCTAAAACCCTAATTACTTAAAATGCCAAATGCTACCAAGGATTCAGAGAAATATGAACTCTCATTTATTGCTAATGATAATGCAAAAACTTAATTTAATAAGTGGCAATGGCACTTTGGAAGAGATTTTCAGTTTCTTACAAAGGGAAAGGCCATTAATAACTGACTGAATAAAGAAAATATGATACGGATACACCAAGAAATACTACACAGCCATAAAAAACAATAAAATTATGTCCTTTTCAGCAATGTGAATGGAGCCTGAGAACATCTTCTTAAGTGAACTATCCAAGAAACAGAAAACCAAACACCACATGTTCTCATTTTACATGTGAGAAATAAGTGGATGTAAAGACGAAAAAAACAGTCTGGGAACACTAAAAATGGGGAGACAGAGAGGGAGGCAAGGGTTCAGAAACTACTTATTGGGTACAATATTCCCTATTTGGGAAATTGGGACACCTTAAAACCAGTCTCTACCAGTACACAATATGCTCACGTAGCAAACATGCACTTGTGTGCCCTGAATCTAAAATGAAATTTAAAAATATGTATAAAAAGAATGCTAAAGACCGAAAGAAGGCAAAGACTAACAGCTATAAAAACTACACATAGGCACTATACTCTGCTTGATAACATTGTTTCCCAGGGGGTAGGGGGTAGAAGTTCCAATGCCGCAGTATATTTATATTGTATTTCAATAATGAAATACATTGTATGTGGTGGCAAGTAGTGTTTTCATTTTGGCGTGGATGGTTTTAGGCAAATAGAAGGT